ACAGGATGCATTTCCATAAATTTCAAGGTGACAAAATCTCTTTGAAATTTAGATTCTCTTATTTGTTTATTGCACATATATTTACTGCTCCCAGTTACAAGTTCTGGATTATCTCCTATATCTATGCAAAGCAAAGTCCAATTAATTAATTTATCCATCAGTCACCTCCACTGTGTTGTTTTTTGGGGTGTGTCTGCATGCATTTTTACACCAACATCAAACCAGAACTAGCTAGGCAGGAATAGCCTTTCTTTGAAGGAAAAAAAAAAAAAAAAGAAAATTGGTTGTTCAGATATTCAGACATTGAATCATTTAAGCTGGAAAGACATTTCAGAGCCACAAGTGGATAGGATTTGGGATGTAAAGCTTACCTCCTCCCATCCCCCTCTGCTTAACTTCCTAGTCAAGAAGACATTAGTCTTAACAAATCTGCAGGAACCTGAGTGGACAGAAACCCACCACAAAAAGCAGCAAATCCATCTACTGTTAATATCTCCATAGTTAACTATGAAGTGTGCCCAAATTTAGGTGTTCCAAAGCCAAAAACTCATGTATCCAAAGAGCTTTAAAGCTCCACCTCCTCCTCTTTTCTATAGCTATACTTCTTTAAAAGTATACTTATTAAAATAAGATTTAAAAAAAAAGAATACTGACGTATTAACGAAACAAGATGTTCAGGAGGACAATGTTTTGTTTTGAGCTGACAAGGAGAGAGGATATTACTCTCGGAAAAGTTCAGAGTAAGCGACACTGAGTTCAAATGCATGCTCCGAAAAGGAGTCTCAGTGCTTTTGTGTTTTAGCCCATTGCCTCCAGAAAAGGCACAATAGAAAAGGGAAGAGAATCTCAATGACTATCCTCAAGACAAGAAAACTTCTACAGGAAGTTGGGTCTGCTGGCTGTGCCACAGGCCTGAGATATCCCCACTTGCTTGTTTGATTTGATTTCCTTTTTTTTTCTGAGGAGGATCTGGAACTACAGCAGGGCTTACTGGAGAGGAACTCATTTGTTTGTTTGCTCAACTTTATTTGAAGACTTTGGTTTTAAGGTCCAGATTAGATCCAAGAATGGATTTGATTGGGTAAGAGAGGGACACTTCAAACAGTATTGTGCAGCTATACTTAGACTGTGTTACTGAGCTACTGGGAAGGAAAGGGTGCTAAGAGAAAGAAACATACTCTGTAGATGAACAGAAGTTTTTTTTTTTTTTTTTTTTTTTTTTCTTTAATTATCCATAGTTGTGACCTCCAGTGTACATGCATCTCCTCTATTTGTACACAGGAACACCTGCAAAACACATCAGAGTTGATTGGAGCCCCAGGACAGAAAGTTACATTTGGTATATGGATCTCTGTGTGAACAAAAAAAATAAATCAGGGAAACACCCAGTTTTGCTTGAACATAATGGTTTGGATTGTAGTTAAGAGGCTTAGCCTTTCTCACTTGTTGGGAGGAATGAGTTGTTCTGCTGGTTTTTTGGCATTCTAACACAAATGCCTCCTGGGGCCTAAAAAACATTTCCTGTAGTAACAAGTATCTGATGGGTTGGTTCAATGGATGTAGCTTAAACTTGGCACTTGCTGGCAGATCTAGCGCATGCTTTGAAGAAATCGGACTTGGGACCATATACCTATCACCCAGCAGGATGCCTTTTCTGTTGTGGACCCCGTGTAAATCTGAGTCTGCTTACAAAGAACATAACTTGCAGAAGAGATTCCACTCCCCAGGAGAAGAAAATTGAAGGAAATATTCCTTGAGTTCTTTCTATCCTGAAATGTTCAGATTACTGATAAAGCTATCAACTGCTGTGATGGTTTGCGTAATATAAACACCTGCCTTCTGCAATGACACAAGCAAAGCCATAGACGTTTGGCTACTGTACAGCTGGAAACTACCTTTCAGCACTGCAGAACCAGACTAGTTGCAAGCAAGTAAACTATAGCTGAAAGATGGAATAATCCTGTTCTGCTCTGACAGCCATCCAATCCTCTGGATGCATGTATGTTTTTAAATGGTCACTTTAACTCTGCATTAAAGTTTGCTTGAAGCCAAGAGCTCACTGCCCTAAGAAAACTGCATTCCTTTCGGTTAATATTTCACTTGACAGGAATCCTTTCTGGCTGGAGATTGACTGCAAAACCTGCAAGCAGATTTTCTATCTCATTGTTTCCAGAAACAAGAATTTTTCAAACCCTCTCAAACACTGCTGAATCAAAACATACACTCCCCAATTCTGTGCCTTCTAATTTAAATCCATAACTCCAAATTGACTAATTTATCTAAGAATAACATGTTTCTTTACATCATTTACATATATTTAACTACAATACATGAATTTTAATCACAGATTGGATTCCATAAAACCAAATGGTTTCAGAGGTCCCACATAAAGACCATGAGAATTATCTAGTCTCAAGGGGACAGCTGGGACAACAGATCCCTTTCTTCTCCATTTGGTCCTGTCTGGCCTCACTGTGTCAAGTTCCATGTCGGGAAATGCGTCTTCCTGCTACACTTATTGTTATCTCCCCTGAGTAACATACAAGACAAATATAATATGCAACAAAAATACCACATGCCAGTGTAGTACACAATTCCTGCCCTCCAATCTGTTAGTCATTAACAAAGATGTGTGTCTTTCTTCTGAAATCTTTTATAGGAGTGACCACTGTTTATATTATACATGAGTTACTGTAGGCCACGGAAGAGGATTTGGGTTTCTACTTTCACTTTTTATTTCGTCTCCCTGGAGCCTTCTATAAGGAAGTGCACCAGAGATTTGCAAATTAAGATGAGAACAGGAAGACTGGAAAATAAAGAACAATTGAGTCAGAAAAGCTGGCAAGGAAATCAAACTAGTAATATCAATAGAACCTATGAATCACAGAAGAATTATAGACTGGATGTTGAGAAGTGGAGTTTGCTTTTAATCATTTTGTAAAATGCTTACTTATGAGTCTTCTCACAGCAAATCTTTTTTGAAAAATGTGTACAGTGAAGATTAACAAGTTGTGTGCTTCAGTGTCTTTCTAGGCTAAGTACCTTTCTCTTACAAAATTCCAACCCAACTCTTTATTCAGAACAGAAATACCATTGATCTTCAACTTCCAAAAGAATGCATCATCCGTTACCCAGCAGCAACTTTGCAAAAAAAAACTGGAACAAAGTATTATTCCATTTATGAATACACTGATTATAAATTCTTATATACAAATATATACCAGGAATAAAAATTAAAATACTATTGATAGAACTAACTTTAGAACACTTCTTCAAAGCACATCTAATTGCCTGTCTTCTGCAGTTATCACTGATGGAGTTAAGAAGGGAGTCCTGAATCCATATGCAACCAGTGATGTCAGTGCAGCTTGCACCATGCCCTTGTTGTCCTTCTCAAAGACAGACAGGTGATGACTCAGGACATATTGCTTTTTTCCTTGCCTACCTCCATTTCCTGAGGAAGCCACAGCCCTTCGTATCACATAGTGTGATAAGCATCAGTCTCATGATTAAAACAAGTCTCTAGGCCAGTAACAAGGGCTGTTAATGTTAGAACTCATAAGCATTCTGGATCACTCATCGAGACTGCTTGTGTGTGCTGTCCTGTTACTGGACTCATGCATACCACACAACAGAAAACGTCTGAATTTTCATCAAATACTAGGTATGTCTTAAAGTGCAATAAGAGGCCATGTCCCACAATCCTCAAATATCTGTGTAGGAGCTTTGCATTTTCTTCTACCTGAACTATTGGGTAAGGCTGAACTATTCAGTACCTGAACTATTCAGTAAGGCTGCAGAGAAGAACACGCCCATCCAGTCTCAGTGTCACTAGAACAGAAGACGAGAGTGGTTAAATTCCTCCTTCAGTTTCAATCACCGTGTTTCAGGCAGGCAAACAGATTTTATACACTAAACATTCAAACTGAGAACTGCATTGACGGAGACAGTTACAGTTTCTATCGTATGCACCTTCCAGGATAATGGGCTCAATATTTTCCTTTCCTTGTTTATTTAATGAGAATACTTTTTTTTCCCACTAGTGACGTAGGCACTTGGTTAATCTTTCAACTCCTGCAGAGGAGACAAGGAGACTGAAAGAATCGCTGTGAGGTGGCTGGACACCATTTACCCACTATGTGTCATATATATACCTCTCATTCTTTCACTACTGCAGTTCAATGATAAAGTGCCTGTCAAGGTCAGAAACACAGTCACAGAAGGAGGTCAAAGGGAGATGGTTTACAATCCAGCACTTAATTAGTTCCTTCTAGTTGAAGGAAAAAAAAAAGACATCTCTTATAGTTATCCTACTTTATTCAATAAAAAAAAAAACAAACATTCCAGTGTGTCCAGTGACACAGAACAAGTACCAGAAGCACAAGTACCACCTCAGCATAGGTGAGGAACTTAGAGGTATCCCACTTGTCAAGTCCTGCCAGACGTGTGTGTGTGTTTGTAAATTAAATCTTTGAGGCTCAATCCAAAGCTAGCTGAAAAACTTATTCCCATTAATTGAAATCAGTTTGGAATTAAGACTTACCTTAAAAATATTGTAAATCATTTAGGATAATATTCCCTACTCTCTCTTTTGATTGCATTGTGTTGTGAGAAATGCTCTGCGTCTTTTAAAATATTATACTGTATTTATTCAAAACAAGGCGTGTACTGAAGAGAAAAAGCCTATTTATTGAAAGGTGCATCTTGTCTTCTTACAAAATATACACCAATGGTAATTAGTTCCCAAAGTGAGCAGAGTTTTAACAATGCTTAAGAGAACAGACATCAGGACAGAAAATACTAGTAGACAGCAACCAGTGTATGGGAACAGTCGAGTCACAGCCTGAAGCACTGATTGAGCACCTGGGGAAAGGACCCAGTCAGCCCTGGGAGCACAGGTGAAGGCAATTCAGGTGTGCCACCAGTAGAACCTGGCTGCAACTTTCTTCGACCTTATTTAAGGGCTGACTGCCCCTAGGGAATGATCTTTTTCTGGAGATCTCTTCTTTTCCCTGCAAACCTAAAATCTTCTGATATGGGTGAGCAATTTTCTTTTTCCATTATTTTATAGCACCTTTCTCTCATTTTGGTCCATCCATTATCACACCTCTGTAACATCTTTCACATTGTACTGATCTGCTACAGTCCAGACTGAATGAAGGTATTTTTTTACTGTTATATAATGAAAACTAATGTAAGTTAGAACGTGTATTTTACTATTTGCCTAAGCCTGCCATTATCTTAAAAATGCATGCACTAGACGCTCCAGAGCAGGGCCGTCCCTGGGGGTGTTTAGAGGCCCTGTTCCTAGCTACCCCTGTGACAATACCGAGTAGCAGCTGGCTGACTGATGGCCCCTGTCTCTGAGGAAGGCTGACAGCAGCCTTCCTTAGCCCCAGTGTTGAAGCACTCATATTTATGTTCAAGAGGAGCAAGTCCCAAATTTCTCAGTTTCTCATTAGTGGTAATCAATTCCGTGCATTTATTCTGACTTAAGCCAGAGATTTATGATTTACAAGGGAGGGCAGCAGTTGATTGATTTCATTATCCAACTTTCCTAACATTTTAGTAGTCTTTGGAGTTCTGCAGATATACTCAGTTACAGGAATAATCCTATGAAACTGCAAAGTGTTATTTGGTAAGTGCCTTTTCAGGTGTTTGTCTACAGAGGAGTTGTGTGAATTATACTGCTTAGGCATTATTAACTCTACTGTTTGCAGCCACATCTGTGTGGAGTGATCTAGATAAAAACAAATGCAAATAAGCAGAGTATAAGCATGTCTGATGTGAGCAATGTGGTGTTTATGCTATTCACGCACATACCAAACAAGTATTTGCTGTTTACCCTTTTGCTGCATGTACTATACAGCTGTCTTGGCATGTACTGACATGTCAAACCCTTGTGTAAAACATCAAAGGCAGACTTTCCTGCATGTGTATGGGGCATTGGACCCATGCAAAGCAAAACAATAAATTGCTCTTCTGATTTGTTTATATCGCCACCCTGACTTGATAGTGCTTCAGTTCCTCTCCTGCTTGTTTTACAAAGGAAAGAAAAACAACTGAGAAAGCAGCAAGGAACAGGGATGTGCATGTACACTACTTTCCTGTTTCATTTAGCTTGAAATAATTTTGTCTTTAGGAATTAAGATATGAAGTTCAGAACAAAGGATCATGCACATAAAGTTTTCGTGTGGCCTAACCATCTAGAGCAGGCAGTAGATTCCTATTGCAACTTGCTTGTCACGTGGATGTGAAAACTTTAATTGCAGTTATTTTGCTTCATGTTAGCCAGTCTGAAACATCTGAATACTAGCTGATATAAACATTCACAACTGGAATTATGTGAAATTTGTTCACATATTTCACTGTGTGCTACGGAATACTTGGAACACTTCAGCATTTGAAGGACCAGGAGTCAGGTCACAAAACCTGCACGTGGTTGTTCAAAACTAGCACTTGATCAATTCCATCAAAGGATTGTATCTCAAATACACTTCTATAATGGCTGCTTCTGAAATATATTTTTCCTTTGAACTGATTCACGTGACCTTTATACAAGGCTGCTAAGTGGGAACAGTGGATCATCTGAACAAGGACTCCTGCATGGCCAATTACCCACTGAGCTAGGCAGGCACATAGGTACACATGGGATGGAAACAGGCAATTACAAGAACCAGACACTGCTGAGAAGCAGGTGAAAACAGAGGTGGGGCTGAAATGAGCTTTAGAAAAAAAAAAATTAAGTGGATGAAAGGACAAACAAAAAAAAAGAAGGTTTTGTACATTTTCAGGGTGGAGAAAGCCACATGAAAGGATTAAAAAATCCAATATGGTCACTTAATTTTACAAATAAAAGTTTATGAACCTGATAAAGTTGTGAAGGATCTAGTTTTAAATAGCAAGTAAAGAGTATGGATATATGAAAAAAGGTAAGTGGAAATGTTTCCTACTTGAGTCAGTCAGATTTTGTATTGGACAACGGCGTAAGAACTTATATTAATTTCATAAAAGAGGTTGTGAATTTCATTTGTTGCTCATTTATTAAAGCAGCCTCAATATTTTATATAGGCTAATACAAATGAGCAAACATAAATTTGAGAACTGGGTAAACATCCTAATGACAGCTTTAATAGGCTGGAAAGGCAAAGCGAAAATTTAAATACAAATTAACTCAGGTGAGAGGGAGTTGATATTTCAATTCTGGGAATTTGATACTGAATTCAGTGTAAGGAAGAAAAATATTTTTCATACATTACTGGAAGAAGTACCTAGCTGCCAAAAGGTTTGTTTAATCCTTTGAAGGGGATATAGCAACTTCCTTAGGAGCAAAAACATAAATTAGAGTTTGTGTTGGTTGCAGTTTCAAAAAAGCCAGGGCATCTCGCCACACCTGGTGACATGCACAGAAATCAGTTCTCAGCACTCCTGACACAGCAGGAGTTGCAGCAGGTTGGTGCAGAGCAGCTCTTTCAGGCAGATGTGTTTTGTTCAGCTTCTGGTCCAGGCTGGTGAGGTGTAAATCTGCTGCTCAGAAGAGTGCAGCGGCTCTAGCCTAGTACTCTGCCTGTGCTGTTATGCACTGACTAGACTAAAGAGGATAATTGTTTTCATGGAAATGTTTCATTACTGCAAACTCAGCAAAGCTCTGTAACTCAAAGAGGATACCCTCTTGGGAGGGTAAAGCAGTATCTAGCTTTGGCCAAGAAAGGTGTCTCCACAGCCACGCATCTGCTCCTTCATTGGAGGAGCAGTGCTGATGGCCATTTTCCATATCCTAGTAAAGGCACCTGCAGTCCTGGTTTGTTTATGATGAAAGCTGAGTTCACAATGTCTCTACTACCTCTCTTGGTGGCAGAGAGGGCAGAGACAACAGCATGGTCAAAGCACTTGGCAAGACTGTGTGGGTCCCACAAAGAAGGGCTGAGTCTGATAGTGGAGAAAGTGATTTAGGAGATGGTACTGGGGACAGATGGGTACTACTGCAATTACAAAATTTACACTGAATCATACTACTGGGAGAAGGACCAAAATAAGAACTTTAGAAACGTGATCTTTCGTACTGATATGAATTGGTATTTCAGCCTAACAAATCTCTGTGGAGGGCACAAAGAAGTTTGAACAGTTGTTCCTTATCCCTCAATAATAAGAAATTATGTATGTGTGTCTAAGACTAGATTCTGATCCTGAAACTGAAACAGCAATCTCTCCTTAAGCAAAATTCATAATCTTCTAAGATTTTATTATGTCTAATCCTGGCTCTGTCTGCACAGCTGACTCATGGGTTTAGTAAACATGTGGTTCATGTTGGTGTTCACAGTCTCTTTTACCCTGACTTAATCCATCCCAAGGGAATTAAATTAAGGGGAAAATATGTGATCCTGCAATTATAAATTACATTATAATCCAGGTAATTATAAAATTGAATGCATTAATGTTGTGTAGACAGACAGCTCTAATTCTGACTACTTATAATTTTGAAGTGCTTGATTTTTTTACAATCAATTTAATTTCACTTTAACATTCACCTGAAACTTCCTGCACTTACAAAAACAAAATCTGCTGGATGAAGATGGATTTCTAACCTTTGGAAGTATGATTGTGGCTTATGTGCTTGCAGAGGATCATCAGGAATATCAGGCCTTTAGGTCTACTTTCTTAAGCCTTTATTAGTTGAGTTCAAAGAACAGCAGAAAACTAGAGAAGTCTAATTTTCTCCAGTTTGGGCCACCTGCTTTTCCAGAGGGTTTCAAAGATGTTTGCTGTGTCTGTAAACCCCTGCGCTGGGTTCTCCTGTGAATTTTGGGAACTGAGGTTTCCTTGAGTCACATTCTACTCCTGCTTTGTGCAGTATTATTCCCTTGTTCACGTCTTGCAAGATGCTTCCTGTCTACAGCCTGTCCCATCAAGTCCTACCCACTACTTTCTCCCTCTGCTTCATTCTTTTTTGTTCAGGTCAGATTGCCTACCACTTCTTTTATGCTGCCTGGGCATCAGAAGTTGGAAAATGTACAGCTTCTGGCCCAGCACTGCAGGGCCTTACCCTCCTGACAAAAGCTGGAATCGTCAGAGAGCTTCAACACCAGCCTCCAGCTATACTGCAAATAGGCAGATCCATACAAGAATAACAGTGGTCATTTCTTGTCTGAAGTGGCCGAGCTTCTTCCCTCTTTCCAAGCTTGCTTCAAAATATAGATGGCTGGAGTATCTCAACAGAATGTGAAAGAATTTACTACAAGCAAGATTAAATATTTTCCCCTAACTTTATCTTGGAAATTACTTTTTTCCTCAACAGCTGTGCTCTCTAAAACTTTCATGTCTAATGTGCAGAAGGAAATTTTGGGGGAAAGGTATTTTGTCACTGAGATGGATTGATGAGCTGGAACCTGTTGCGCCTGTTATTTGCCATGATTGCATAACACATTCTTCATCCATCACCCTTAAAGGCCCACTGTGGTTTTGTTCAATAGCTTTTCTTCCTAAAGCTGTAAGACTGGGTGTGACAAATTGTGTTGGTATGATCTGGTGCCTTAGAGAATGCTGGCTTCTTCTTGTTGGGAAGTTTTCCTTTCCACTTGCTATGAAACCAGTATTTTGGCGTTCTTGTAGCTTTTTCTCTATTTGCTTCACCTCAAGTTGTCAGAAATCATTTCCTTCAGTTCACAGAGTATCTAAAACTTAGATTTTTATCTTCATAGCACAGAATTTCTGAACAGATTATACTACTGTAGCTTTGTAAAGTGTATCTGGCTGTTTTTTCAATGTTTAGTATGACTTCATTTAATCTCATATAGCCTATATCGACTATTTGTTATTGTTCTCATTGGTATGTCCTTTTCCATTAACTCTTCATAATCAACTGTGAAATGGTGGGCTTGAAATCAAAGGGCAGGAATGGGCCACTTGTGAGTTGTCAGAACATATTAAATCACGTCCAGCCTGCAGTGACAATTATTTGATTGCTAATGTGATATTAATAGTCAACAGCTAGTACAGATATTGACAGTTTTATTCCAGTGATACAAGGTATGTGTTTCTGTCTGCTACAAGTAGAGTTATATTAACTTTGAACTGAGAATAAGTGGGAGTTAAAGTTTCCATTGTGTTCTCTTTCCTGTGTTACTGGAAATTTTGCTCTTGATCTCACATGCCAATATACATACCTTCAAACAGCAGGTTGTCTTTGGTTTTGCAGCATGCATTTGGTATTGCTGACTGGTTACATCCATGGCAAACTCACACTCAGTATTTTTAAGAAGGCCCAATCTGCAGAACCTTAGCCTCGCCAGAAATGTTATCCATGTGATGTTTGTCTATGTCTGTGAGATTGTCATAGATACAGTGCCTTGGCTTCCTCTTGTCTCAAAGTCTTCTAGTATTGGACTGATTCGCAGACTGTTTCTTTCTGGAGCTTCTGAGATTTTTTTTTTTTTTTCTTCCAAAGTCAGTTGTGTTTGAATTAAAAGCAATTCAAACACCCCCTCATAAGGCTTCTGTTTCTTCTGGTTTAACACTAGAGTTTTCTTTCACCTTTCCAAAAGCCATATTAGTTCAGATCGAAAGTTTGTCTTAACCTATTATCCTGTCACTGTTTGTGGGGAGTAGCAAATGCCTGGGGAAAATAAAGCAATGGTACTTTCCTAGAATACCCTTCTATGAACCAGGAGTATTTTAAAGATTTAGTAATTTCCAATTTACTTAGTTTGCTTTTTCATTTTGATGAAATATCTGGAAATATATGTTCTTCTATTTAACTGAGTTTTGGGAGCAACACTTAATTTACTTCCCTTTCTTTTGTTTCAGATGTCCTGCCTGCATGAGGAGGATGCTGTGAAGAGGCATAATCACCAGAAAGTTCAAAGAACATGTATAGAAGTAAGAATGTTTAAGAACTAATGCTTTTATCTTGTCAAACTGTGCACTGAGATTAATCTCCAACGTTTTTATAATTCTATGATGTGTTCAGACTTAATAATGACATTTGAATATGCAGTGCAAGCTTGAAGTCTGCTGTAAAAGATAAGTTAGCTATAATGAAAGTAAGAACAATGAAAAAGAGTGTCTAGGAGGTCTCCTTTTCACACTGTAATGTGCAGTAATGACTCAACAAAAGTAATGATGAGAATGACACAGCAAGAGGACCAAGTGGGTATTTTGGTTAGTTCCTACTACAATTAAGGAAACCACAAAACCACATCAGTCCCTACTCTGCTGAACCAGAGACACAACAGAAAACAGTGATTTTTGTTTTTAGAACTGCAAACCACAAGAATAAAAGTTTAGTTTAGTGTCAGGAATTAACCTGGATTTCTTTCAGAATCCTGTTGACATGTAAAACTAATGTGTTGCCGTGCTTGGATATGACATGAAGCAAGCCATCCAGGCACTGGTGTCATGTATGCCACGTGAACTGTAAAAATGTATTCCATTTTACACTTTTTCCAGGTGGAGGTTACTTGATTCTTGCAAGAATAAAGACGTATTCCAGCCATATTTTATGTTATACTACAAAGGGAAAAGCTAATTATCTCTATTTAAATGTTAACACTTTATTTTCATTATCAACTTTTTCACAAAATAGACAATGAGTGATACAAATAGGGGAAAATGATTATTCTATATTCCAGGCATTTCTAAAGTGATTCTGTATAGCTAGGCCTGATGACTACTAACAGTGCTGTTGTGTTGTGTTTGATTTACTTTTTTTTTCTTAAGAAGACATGCCATGATCTTACTGTTATGCTTCTTTCTCAGCAGTACTCACATGCAGCAGGTAGAACCAAACAAATATCTGTCCCACTGACCCAGAAGGAGTCCTGAGACCTTTCTGAGCAGTTTCCTCTAAGCCTTCTCAAAGCAGCTATGAAACTTGTTGCAGGGTCCTATAATGTCTCTAGAGCAGGACAGACACTCCGTATCTCAGAATCTATAGAAGACTATAGAGTAAAAGCAAGGCTGACTCATTTAGAAAGTCAGCCCTGCATCAGTATTGGTCACAGTTTCTCCATGTTTAGCTCTGTTGGCTTTTGGGTATGCAACAGTGGAGCTGTGTGAACAGCTGCAGCACAGCCAAGAATCCAGAAACATAGCTGGAAATGTTTTTGGCTTCTGAAAACATCTGAGTCTCACAAGTGTAATTAGATCTTTCTGCAAATGGAAAACTGAAGAATGGCATTTTTCTGTGATACAGATCATAGTCAAACTGCTTGTAGTTTTAAGTGTAGCAGTATTTTAAATCACTCACTGTACACTTTAAGTTGGAAATAACCTGTAAGCTCCTTGGTGTTTGACATCTGTAGCTGTAATGAACTGGCAAAATGGTTAGCATTCTTCCAACCACAAACCATAGATCACATGTTTTTTTCTCATCTGCCTTTGAAAGTAGAGGCTATGCTGAAATTAGCCTATAGGTTATGTATGAGAACAGTAATCTTTTGACCAAATATCTGTCAGGATCTGGGAATGTTTTGCCTGTTTGTGAATATTAATAACTTAGTAAGTAGAGAATGTATATGTTGATGCTCCAGGTAGCAGTATGGGGCAAGGTCGATACTTTTTTGGGCACTCAAGATTCAGAGAAGAGAAACATGATGAAAACCAACATTGTTTAGTATAGGTAAATCCAGAAAAACACTGAGGAATACCAGAAAGATTTCATAATGATAGGTGACTGATACTGAAATATCTAGATCCTTCAATCTTTCCAAAGGATCAACAAGTATATGGTATAGTACAATAATTCAACTGTGAGCTTTGTTTATTTAGCAAGGAAATGCTGGCAGTCTGGACAATGACTATGAGCTGTTCTAAAACTGTACTCAAAGCTAGTCCTCCTTTTGGTTGTGATTCTTAGGGAAACAAGTAGGTTTCATATGACAGTCCAGTTGTCTTAATACACTCTTGTCTTAAACTGTTTTCTATTGGTGAGAAATACTTTGGAATCTTCTGTTAAACATCACTAGACTAGATAATAGTTTAATATATTCATTGTTAAGGAAGAAAGCACTCCTATTATTATATCAGAACTTCACATGGTAAAAATGATCAAAATGTCTTAAACCCTTCTCATCTTTCCCTACAGAAGCATTCAGGTATTCTCTAGTTCAGAAAACATTGTCTTCCAAAGAACAAATATAGTTATGAAATATTAAAAAAATAGTTTTCATAGTGTAAGTGTCTAAATACGTAGGTCACTACAAAAGTAAAGCCTCTTATTTCTGCAGAAACTTCAACAGATACAAAGAGCACAATAACGCTAGCTGATAGTGTTTTGTAGCTGAGAATTTGTTCTATTTTTCAATACAGTCACCACCCTTAGTGATACATTTTTGCCAGTGATGAATAAGAGCCTGCATGCCATGCTTGTAAAAGTCTACATGGCTGTCCAGAATGTAGCTTGTCATTCACATTGCTATTTCCACTACTGAAGCACACCACCCACTGTGTTCACATCCACTGTTTGGTCTTCATAAACATTCAGCAAGCATCAATGAATGTCAGTGGATGCCAATTTTTGCACATGGAGGAATTCGGTTGCACTTTTGCTCAATGTGCACTTCCATGTTGGATGCTGTTTTGTCAGAGTGCTCCTCTGCTGCCATCTGTCACATGGCAACACCATGCAATGGAGCATTCACAGACAGGTTCAGCCTTTACTGCCATACATCTGCCTCTGATGTTGTAGGCCAACATAAGAAAATAGGAGGCATTACTTTCAGAGCAGCCCTTGTATATACTATAATTGAATACTGGGTGGTAAGTTAAAAAGGAAAGGAAGTCACTCATTTTCTGAGCAATTCTATGGGCAATTTTTGATAAAGGAGTTCTAAGGAAGATCTCTTTATAGGATGTTCTAATTGAGTGTTGCTTTCTACCTTTGAAGTTGTAGTTTATACAGTACTTCTTGTTGTGTACCCTTATACTACTGGTATCAATTCTTGAGTCTTTAGCAGTTAAACTTCTGATATTGCTGTAAGTTCATTATTTAGTGAATCTAAAAGTCAGAAAAGAAAAATGTTAATACAGTTAAATGCCACTAGCTTTCTAAAGTAAAGCTCTTAAAATATTGATCTAAAAAAAGCTAAAAATGAGACTTAATTTCTGAATTGTGAAGACCTTATGCAGTATTTTTATGAACTCATGTTAGAGGTGTCAGGGGGTTTTGTTTGCAATAAAGCAGAGTTGACAATTTGCTAATACTTATGAGTCTATTTCTGAGCTTTCTTATTGGAAACAGTTCTGGAACTCTGTGAGTCGTGCTGTTCAAGAAACAAGTGATAGACACTTAGCTTTCTGAACTGTGCAGCATGTGAGGTGAACCAAGGCAGAATAATTGCAATGCTTCCCAGGCCTTTTCATTTGGAGATTTCCAACGCCTGTTGTGGCAGATCTCTGCTTGGCAATCTTCTGTGCCTGCTAGAATAGTTGTCTCTTCTCTCTTCATTGGAAGTGTTCCTTTCCCTTTGCTTCTAGTTTAAGCCTTTCCTTGAGGCTTCACAGTTTTACTGTACCCTGTTGGTAATTGTACCCATAAGCATCTGCTGTACCTGCTTTAAAGAGGAAAATACCCATTTAGAAGTAAGGACTTCAGCATGTCCTTGCTTTAACCTGTATGATGCTAGACTTCTGGTTGGCTCTTATATGATAGGAAGGTAATCTGGTGCACCTGTTCCCATCCCTGTTGATGCACCCTACAGAGCCTCCTCAGCTGTTGCACCTGGATCTCAGAGGACTCCAGTGTCAAATTTCTCATAACTCTTTCTGCAAAAAGAGAACCAAACAGCAGCTGACTCAGAGCCACAGGATAGGATGTACATGCTATTCCTTCTTCATGATAGCAGCAAGCATAGGTTTTTCAGATCTTCATCTCTTTGCATGTTCTTCCCTCAGTTTCCCTCCTCAGGGACATGGTAGCTGCAAAACCTGTGCAGATTCTAGACATTTCAGCTAGTGCAGGTCTGCAGACCTTGGTGAAACAGTGGAAAGCATATTCCAAATTTTCATGTTCCCATTTTGTTGGTACTCTTGAGTTGTTTTTTTTTTTTTTTTTACTTTGGAATTCCACCTTCCTGATTTTGCTTTTTATCTCCTTGTTCTGTTGTGTTTTTGTTTTGTTTTTTGACAGCTACAATTGCTGTCTATCATATAAATTACTGGTGCTGCATCTTTTACCCAAAATAATTGGGTGACGCTTCCTTCTATAAGCTCTAATTGTTTTTGAAAGCTGACTCTCATCATCTTCATCAGGTGATCCTTTGTCTTCTTAGTCCACTTGGTGGAATCAGTTTCTTTGGCACACCCATTTACTTAGCATATCCATTTTACTGCTCAGATAGATCTATTTAAATGTTAATAAGCCTCACTCTTCCTAGCACCCAACTCAGACATCCACTGTGCATTTTTCACTGCCATTGGGTGTCTCAAAAGAAATTAACACATTGACTTAAGATAATACAAAATGAAATGACTGGCTTGGTTGCACTTCGCATTCCATAAAAAGAACACAAATCTTTCTTTCGTGCTCAGCATCTTTGCATCCTATCAGTGTTATTTAGCATCCTGGAGCTGTTTAGAAAAAAAGACTGTGCCTGTTGCCTCCTACTCAGATGTAAAGATACTTTGTTGAATTTAATCTCCTTCATCAAATTTCAGCTGCTCTGAGGATTTATTCTTATATGGTTGTGCACTGCGTAATGCTTACCAAGCTTTTTGCACAGCTCACCAGTGTTATCACACAGCCGTCACAAAATGAGTTGGAATTATATTTCTCATCTCCTAGGCCAATTTGTTGTACTATGTGGGAGAGTTTCTAATCTCAGTTATACCAAAATCAATTATAACATTCTGGATATTTGCCAGCACCAGATCAGATTCTG